TCAGTAAAAAGATTGAAAAAGGAAAGATGTAATCTACCCAGAGAGAAGAACTCTGCCAGTGTCTGGAAGCACCGAAAATTCTTCTGGGCAGGAGGAACTACCTCTTTCAAAAGTTTTCCTTTACAGCTGTGTTTTATCTGTAGTTGGGGTAAACATTTTGAAGTATTATTTTATTTCTCGACTGTTGCCATAAATGAGTTTCTTTGCAAGTACCAAAGAGAAAAGCACTTACATGGTCAGCACAAAGCAATTCCTGATCAGAGGCAAAAAATGAGTGGTACACTCTAGTTGCTTGATAAAACTTGAGGTCCTTCCAAAGGAGGCAAGAAAAATCAGTACTAAAGACAACAGAATTGGTTAAATCTATGTTAGGATGTTTAGTTTTATTTTTTTTAATTTATTTTTTATTAACATATTTTGAGTTATCAGCAATCACTTCCATAAGCTTTTGAGTTTTAGATTTTTCTCCACCTCCCTCCTTACCTCCCTCCCCAAGATGGCGTGCAATCTGATATAGGCTATACATATACATTCCTATTAAATGTATTTTCACATTAGTCATGTTGTAGGGAACAATTAGAACCAATAGGAGGAACCACCACAGAAAGAGGAAACAAACCAAAACAGAAGGAAAAAAAAAGCAAATAGTGTGCTTCGATCTGTATTCAAACTCTATAGTTCTTTATTTAGTTGTGGATAGCATCTTCTATCATGAGACATTTGGAGAAGTCTTAGATCCTTGCACTGCTGAGAAGGGCTAAGTTTATCAAAGTTAGTCATCACACAACGTGGCTGTTACTGTGTACAACATTCTCCTGATTCTGCTCACTTCACTCAGCATCAGTCCATACAAGTCTTTCCAGGTTTTTCTGAAGTCTGCTTGCTCATCATTTCTTGTAGCACAATAGTATTCCATTACATTCATACACGACAACTTGTTCAGCCGTTTCCCAATTGATGGGCATCTCCTCAATAAAAATGGGAAAAAGACCCACATGTACAAAAATATTTATAGCAGCTTTTTTGTGGTGGCTGCTTAGTTTTATTGCAGATGGTTTAGTAAGTTAAGCAAGAATGTTAGCTCCTTGAGTGCAGGAATGATTCTGCTTTTGTCTCTGTATCCCCAGGGCCTGACACATAATAGGTACTTCACAAGCTTGTTTTGACACACGCACACATACACATATACATATACATATACATATATATCTCCATCCCCCTGGGAGAGATAGCAGAATGGAAAGTTTAAATCGTAGACACAAATTATTTCCAGTAGATTTTGGTAATGGAAATGGGAGGAAATCATTAAGACACAGGTGCTTGAAGAGAGTATGAAGCCAGTCTTAATTAACATTTTGCCTAGGAGATGATACTATGTATAGTAGAGTATCTATTAAGTTAAAAGGATATGTTATCTTAAAACTTGAAACAAAAATAGTTTGATTATTGAAGAAAGATAATTCTGACTGGTAGGCTAGATTTGCATTATAAATTTTCATTTAGTAATTACTTAACACTAGAAGGACCAGAAACATCAATTGATGCAAAAATATAATAATTTTACTTTGAAATACAGCTTTTCATCATTCTATCTCTATTTTCTTTGCCTTATGTATTGAAAAAATGCACTTTATCACTTGATGCAGCTCATTCCTTTGAGATGTTCTTAAATTCTGGTCCTTCTGCATTTAATTTGAAGATAAGTAATTTTAAGATCATAATATTTTCTGTTAGAACTAGAATAATAGAGGCAAGCATGGTTTAGGGGAAAGAACACTGGATTTGCAATTAGACCCAGGTTTAAAATTCCAGCTCTATTTCTACTACCTGTATTATCTTGAGCAAATCATTTCACTTCTTTAAGTATTCTCATCTATAGAATGTGGGGGTTGGACTTTAAAATTTTTCTAAGGTTCTTTCCAGTTTTTTCTTTCTTTTCTTTTTTTTATTTTTAATATGTGTTTTTAAAACTTTGGGTTACAAATTTTCTCCCTTCCTCCCTCCCCACCTACCCTTATTGAAAAGGCAAGCATCTCAATACAGGTTATAGATGTGTAGTCATGCAAAACACTTTCATAGTAGTCCTGTTGTGGAAAACTAAGTATATTTCCCTTCATCCTGTCCTACCCCCCATTTATTCTATTCTCTCTTTTGACCCTGTCCTTCCTCAGAAGTGTTTGCTTTTGATTATCCCCTCCCACAATCTGCCCTCCCCTCTATCGATCCCCTACTCTCTTGTCCCCTTCCCCCCTTATTTTCCTATAGGGTAAGATAGATTTCCATACCCCATTGTGTATGTTATTCCCTCCTTAAGCCAAATCCTATGAGAATAAAATTCACTCATTCCCTCTCACCTTCCCCCATTTCCCCTCTATTGTAAAAGCCTTTTCTTGTCTGTTTCATGTGAGATAATTTACCCCATTCTACTTCTCCCTTTCTCCTTCTCCCAGTATAATCCTCTCTCACCCCTTAATTTTGTTTTCCAGATATCACCCCTTCATCTTCAACTCACCCTGTGTCCTGTATCTATCTATCTATACATATAATTTTTTCCGTCCCACTACCCTAATACTGACAAAGGACTCGTGAGTTACAAATACCATCTTTCCCTGCAGGAATGTAAACAGTTCAACCTTAATAAGTCTCTTATGATTTCTCTTTTCTGTTTACTTCTTCCATGTTTGACTTGAGTCTTGTATTTGAAGGTCAGATTTTCTATTCAGCTCTGGTCTTTTCCACAGGAATGCTTGAAAGTCCCCTATTTCATTGAATAACCATTTTTTACCCTGAAGGATTATACTCAGTTTTGCTGGGTAGGTGATTCTAGGTTGTAGTCCTAACTCCCTTGCCCTCCAGAATATCATACTCCATGCCCTCCAGACCCTTAATGTAGAAGCTGCTAAATTTTGTGTTACCCTGATTGTGTTTCCACAATACTTGAATTGTTTCCTTCTAGCTGCTTGCAATATTTTCTCCTTGACCTGGGGATTTTGGAATTTGGCTACAGTATTCCTAGGAATTTTCCTTTGGGGATCTTTTTTAGGAGGTGATCGGTGGATTCTTTCAATTTCTATTTTGCCCTCTGGTTCTAAAATATCAGGGCAGCTTTCCTTGATAATTTCTTGAAAGATGATATCTAGGCTGTTTTTTTGATCATGACTTTCAGATAGTTCAGTAATTTTTAAGTTCTCTCTCCTGGATCTCCAGGTCAGTTGATTTTCCAGTGAGATAGTTCACATTCTCTTCCCTTTTTTCATTCCTTTTGATTAGTGTTACGGTGCCTTGATTTCTCAAATTGTTACTAGCTTCTAATTTCTCCATTCTAGTTTTTAAGAAAGTATTTTCTTCAGTAAGCTTTTGGACTTCCTTTTCCATTTGGCCAATTTTACTTTTTAGGGCATTCTTCTCCTCATTGGCTTTTTGGACCTCTTTTGCCATTTGGGTTAGGCTATTTTTTAAGGTGTTATTTTCTTCAGTATTTTTTGGGGTCTCTTTTAGCATCACTCTCAGTTTTTCTTCTACTTCTCTTCTCAAAATCCTTTTTGAGCTCTTCCATGACCTGGGACCAATTCATGTTTTTCTTGGAGGCTTTGGATGTAGGAGCTTTGGCTTTATTGTCTTCTTCTGGTTGTATGTTTTGATCTTCTTTGTCACCAAAGTAAGATGATATAGTCTGACTCTTTTTGCACTGCTTGCTCATGATCCCAGCCAATTACTTGAATTATAAACTCTTTGTTAAGGTAGGAGTCTGTTTCCAGTGTGGAGAATGTACTGTCCCAAGCTTCAGGGGTTTTGTGCAGCTGTTTTCAGAGATACTTCTAGGGACCTGTAAATTTTCAGTTCTTCCAAGGTGCTATGATCAAGGGTGAGGTATTTACTCCTTTCCTGGCCTGTGCTTTGGTCTATGAGTACTTTTTTCTGTCTTGGAACTCTGAGGAGGGTTTCCTCTCCACAACCACTACAAGCTCCACCTCACCAGTGCTCCTCCTCGCCACAGGACCGCCACCCAGAACCGTGACCCAGATCCAAGCTCGGGCAAAGCAAGAGATTCCTGCCTCAGCACTGGCAAAGAGATCCCTGCAATCCTCCTCCATCAGCCACTTGATTTCCCCTCAGTCTGTGGGCTGGAAGCTCAGGAGGCAGCTGCAGCCCACGCTTGGGACTTGCGGCTGAGACCTAGCTTCTCTCTCACGAAAGTCACAGACTTTTCCCACTAACCTTCCAAGTTGTCTTTGGTGTTCAGGGGTTGAGAAGTCTGGAAGCCACCACAGTTGCCCACGATTCAGTCCTCTGAGGCCTGCTCCAGGTTTGCTGCTGCCTGTGCACCCACGCCAAACTGCACTTTTCTCCCTGCCCGGCGCGATATACCTTTCTGATCAACCATCCAAGCTGTCTTTGGCCTCAAATTTGTTTTACTCTGTCTTTTTGTGGGTTCTGCTGCTTTAGAATTTGTTTAGAGCCATTTTTTATAGGTATTTGGAGGAGTTTGGGGGAGAGCTCTAGCAAGTCACTGCTTTCACTCCGCCATTTTGGCTCCCCCCTCCCCCCCGGTTCTTTCCAGATTTTAAACCTTTAACTATCTTTAACTTTTATCTTCTCCCAATATACCCATCTAATCCATGGTCCCTAACTTATAGAGAAAGTCTTTAAAGATCCCAAAGGATTAATTGTGGAGTGCAATGTGGTAAACTAGGTACAAGAAGGAAGTTTGGCCGGAAACCTTTATTCAAGAGATTTTTGACACCCTTTTACTAGTCCAGCTCTACTTTCCCTCCCACCTCAGAGCCCCAGTTGATCTGGATGCTTTGGATAAGAAACAGAACTTGCCCCATAATAGTTAAGAACTTCACTGTAAAACATCCAGTCTTCACAAACACAAGTGAAGTTTTTTTGTAGCTTCTTTCTGCTTTAATTTTTGAAAAAAAGAATTCAGTAAAACTTGACATAATGAAAATTTTCATAAAATAGATGATTAGTGAGATTTACTTTTTCTCTTACAGTGAATGTTGCAGAGACTTGTTGGATACAGTAGATAATTATGCAGTGCTTCAGCTGGACATAGTGTGGTGTTACTTCCGTCTGGGACAGCTGGAATGCCTTGATGATGCAGAAAGAAAGCTAAATGTGGCCCAAACATGCTTTAAAAACTGCTACGGGGAAAACCACCAAAGACTAGTCCATATAAAAGTATGTTGATTTGAACTATGGTTTGTTTGGGATTATATTGCATGTTGTCAGGTCTGAGTACAGAATTTGTGTGTATGTGTAATTCACGTCATATCTACTAGCTCAAAAGTGCTTCATAGTAGTTTGCAGTTTCTTGCAATTTCAGACTATATTTGAAAATAATTTTTTAAGGGTTTTAAAATACCTTGTATGTGTGGGGCCTTTGGGTTTCATTATTGTTGTCTATGCAGAATTCAGACCCAAGATATTCACAGTTAAGGGACTCTGGGACCACCTTTGCAATCCCCATTAACCAAAAGAAACATGTGACCTCTGTATACCCTGTAGAGTTTACATGTCACATATACCTCAAGAACTGTTGTCTGGGCGTTATTGGCTTAAACTAACCAACTAAATTATTGTTTAACTATCCCACAAACAAATTCATTTAATTCCTAAGATATTGCTTAGGATTTTCTATCCCATTCTATAATTACTAAGTTTTGGTTCTTTTCCCTATTTTCCCACAGACTTGCAAAGGGAGAGTGTTTGGGTTCTGTTACCAGTTGTACTACTTCTTCACTTCAAGGAATATCATTTTATTGTAATAACTCTTGTTTATGTAATAGCTCACATTTACGTAGCACTTTAACTTCTGCAAAGTTCTTTCCTCATAACAATCCTGTGAGGGTAGGTAGTGGAAAGATTATTAATTATCCCCATTTTACAGATGAGCAACCTACATTTGAAAATAATTTTTTAAAGTTTAACAATATATTATACAAGTGGAGTTTTGGGGGTTTAGTCCTTATTTCCTGTGCAGGCTATTAGACCCATGGAACTCAGTTACTGACCCAGGAACTATGCTCTCCTTTTTTAAGATAAATTAAGTGATAAGCCTGTGTTCACATAGCTAGTAAGCATCTGAACTAGGACTTAAACCCAGGGGTCTTTACTGCAGATCTAGTGCTCTTTCCATTATATCTTGCTGGCATTACTTAGATTACAGAATTTCAGAGTTGAAAGGAATCTTAGTGGTCATCTAAACTAACCCTGCCCAGTGCACGAAGCCATTTTATGGTGTTTCCAACAAATTGTTTGGCTAGCTTTTGCTTGAATAACTTCAGGGAAAGAACGCTTGTTACCTAATCAGTCAGCCCATTACATTTTAGCTAGCTTGAAAGACCCCATAGTGTAGTGAAAAGAATATGGGCTCTGGATCAGAGCACCTGAATTTGTGTCCCAACCCTGCTACTTACAACTGGTGTAACCTTGGGCAAGTCATTTCATCTGCCTCATTGGTCTCTGGGGCGTGGGAATTAGAGACTTAACTAAATGATCTTTAAAGCCCCAGCCATCCCTAAAGCCTTAGAAAAGGGAGAGAGATCAAGCACTTATTAAGTGTCTGCTGTGTACAAGACACTGTGCCATTAGAAATATTAACTCATTTGATCCTCACAACAACTCTGGGAGGTAGGTACTGTTACTATCTACCTGTGCTGAAAATAAAGATAAAGAACAAAAGTCTTTGAGATGAATTATAAATTACAGGTAGGTGCAGGTTTATTGTTCTTTCCTGTCTTTCCCCTCACCTTCCAGTTATCTGAATTACATGTTGTATTGGTATGCATGGAATGAGCTAACACTGGATGGAAAGCTTTGAAGAGAAATTTCAAGAATAGTACAGTGATAATGTGGATGCCACTAGTAAAAAAACAGCCGCCCCACAGGATCTGGTCCAAAATCATTTGGTGGAAAAACCTCTTTTAGATGAGTCTACTAGTAGGAATCATTTGGTGAGACTGACATTGAAAGGTGATTCCGGGGCAGCTAGGTGGCGCAGTGAATAGCGCTCTGGCCTTGGAGTTAGGAGTGCCTGAGTTCAAATCCAGCCTCAGACACTTAACACTTACTAGCTGTGTCACCCTGGGCAAGTCACTTAACCCCGATAACCTCACCAAAAAGAAAAAAGAAAGGTGATTCTACCACTTTATTAATTTATTTTCAATAAACATTTTTGCATTGGAATTTTATTAAATTGTTCATCTTCCTGTCAGCCTCTTCTTAAACCAAGTCTTTAAAATTTGTTTTTAAAAAAAAAAATGAAATTCATAGGGGCAGCTAGGTGGCACAGTGGATAGAGCACTGGTCCTGGAGTCAGGAGGACCTCGGTTCAAATCCTGCCTCAGACACATAACATTCACTAGTGTTATGACTCTGGGTAAGTCACTTAACCCTAATTACCTCACCAAAAATAAAAAGAAAAGAAATTCAATAAACTTGTTCATTGGGCATAGTTGGTAATTTTAAAATAATATTTAAAGCAATTAATAGCAGTAAAATAAAAATAATTGTTTTAAGTGATGGTAAATGATAATGACCATATCTGCAATATGTAGGTGATCAATTTTTAAAGAATTAGCAGAATGCAGCAAAATACACTTAACACTAAAAGTATTCTAAATATAATTTTATCTTTCTTGGATATTTCAGAAAGTTCTAATAGTGCTTTGAAGTTAGCATATCTCCATGGCCTAGAAATTAGACTTGGGTTCTAGTCTTGCATACACTGCTAGGGACCTTTAAGAGTTCATTAATTCAGGGTTTGACCAATCTTAGGTATCGTGTTGTCATAGTGTCTGGGGGCTTCACATGATACTTAGTATTTTAGGGAAACTAGTTTTCTAGTATCATATGAGAAACTGTAAACTTCCTTCTCTGTGAATCTTTTACTTTAAGATAACTTGACATTCACAACCCTAGACAACCGCACAAATGGGGATTCACCTAAAGGCTTTGTGTGCTTCTAAATCTTTACCATGTGTGTCTTGGCTCTGTTCCCTGAATGTTAGGATAGAAGAAGAGAGGTAGGTGAGAACTGGACCCAAAAGAGCCAAGCACTTTGCCTCTGAGCCAAGGAAGTGCCCAGACTGAATGTTTGAGCTTTTCTAGAGGATTCTTCCAGAGTTTTCAATAGTCCTTCTCTAATCCTAATGTAGTGTCCATCTTCTAGTTGAGCTGCAGTGCCTCACCAACAATGTGCAGCTTCTCTTACTCACCCTGTTCTTCCTTCTTCCCTTTTTTCCCTTGAAAGCTAAAAAGTTCATTTGGCTTCTAAACTTTTTGGCTATCTCCCAGATGCAAAATTGATTTGTTGTGCTTCAATCTAATCTAGCTTCATTTGTGTTATATCTTACGAGGAAACTGAGACAGAGGGAGATTGTGATTTTCCCAAGGTAACATAGCTAGCTAGTTGTAGACCTGGAGTGGGAACCTTTGTCTCTTGACCGCCAGTCCTGTGTTCTTTCTATCCTATTAGAGCTGATTAATATGAGATAGCAGAGTTTACTGTATTGAAATTAACTTTGTTTTTTGCTATTATAGAAGAAAAAAGGAATTTAAACGGAAGTGTTAACATGTCTAGTAATAGAAGTAAGGTAGTTGTTTTAACTTTTGGATGTTTTTTTTTCCTCTCCTTAGGGAAGTTATGGGAGAGAGAAGGTACTATTTTTAAGACTTTACTTGCTTCAAGGAATAAGAAACTATCATAGTGGTAATGGGGAGGAGGCTTCTGAATATCTCAATAAGGTAAGATGAGAAACATTGTAGTTACTCAGCTACTATTTGTTTTGCCAATAAACATTAGATTATATTACAGAAGCTTAAAGACTAATAGGGTGAAAAGATATGAATAGTGGTAACATAATGATAAAGCAATAAGTGCATTACAGAGTTACAAAACAAAGTTTCATTTCGGACTAGGGAGAAAGGTCATTAGCAACTTGGAATCTTGGAAGACTTCCTGGGAAAAGTGACATTGAATTTTGGCTTCAAAGTTTTTTAGGAGAAGATTAGGAAGAAAGGAATTTCAGGAAGAGGGGAGAACTTGAGCAAAGGCATGGATGTGCAGGGTGTGGGATTGGGAAGGGAAGAGGGCTAGCCTTTCTGAGGCAGGACTCTTGAAGGGAAATAATACAAGACAAGACTAAAAAGAGAGGGTTCTACCCTCTAGGAAAAGCTTTGATTGTAGGCAGTGAATGGCAAACTTAGGCAGGGTGGAGTCTTTGAAGATTTTTGAGTAGGGGAGTGACATGACCAAATCTATAAGATTATTCTGGCCGTCTTGTGATGAACAGATCGGAGGGAGGAGAGAGTGGTGGGGGAGATATGTTAGACCTTATCAACAGTCTCAGTGGTTGGTAATAGGATTCCAAATTATGGTGGTGGTGGTGAGAGGACAGATGTGAGGGCTGTCATAGAGATGGAATCAAAAGGACTTAGTAAGTGATGCAAGAGGTGAGGGAGAAGACAGTGCTCCAGAGGGTTTGAGGGAGCATAAGGGTTGAGGAAAATCCATTGGATTTATCAAGGAGAAAGTCTTTGGTGACTTAGAGCATTTTCAGTGGAGTTAGGCAGGTGAGGCAAGTCCAGTTACAAGAGGTTGAGGAGAAAGTGGGTAGTGAGGAAATAGAGACGTAAGGTGCAGATGAATTTAGGCACTGAAGTGAAGTAGAAAAAAGGCTAGACTCGGTCAGGAGACCTAGGTTCAAATACTGCCTTATCACCCTGGCTGTATGAATACAGAGAAATCACGTAACCTTTCAGAGTTTCCATTTTCTCATTTAGAAAGTGGGGGATAATAGTACCCTCTACCTCCTTGTGATAAGGAAAGTGTTTTGCAAACATCCAGCTGGTATATACATGTGAATTATTTTCAAGAAGGCCAGCATTGAAGAGGAGTGGAGAGATGAGATGGGAACAATGGATGGGCTTCAAGCAAAGGCTTTTTTTTTTTCCCTCCTAAGGATTAGGGAAGCTTAAGCATGTTTGTACACAGGTGGACCTTATTCAGTTAAGGAGATATTGAAGATATGTGAGTGAAAGAATGATCATTGGTGCAGGAGTCTAAAGGAAGTGGGAAGAAATTGGGATTAAGGGTACAGGTGGAAAGATGAGCTTTTTCTGTGGGGATATCTGTTCTTTGACTTGAGAGAAGTATGGGACAGTGGGAGATGATGCTGAACAGGTTTAGGGAATCGAAGGATGGGAGCTGAAGAAACTCATCAGATGGCTTCAGTTTTTTCTTGGTGACGTTACATATATCTTGTGAGTTACATATATCTGACAAGCACTACTAATTTTTCTTCTGTCATAAGCTTATGAGGGCAGGTACAACATCTTAAGTTTCTGCTGTAACTCCCCATGGTGCCCAGTATAGTGCTCTGCACATATTAGGTGTTCATAATGTACCACTGACTGGTCATGTTTCCAATTCTTACATGCACATGGCCAAGTTGATTTTGGCTCTACAGTTTAATTTCTTTTAGGCCTTAAATTTATGTTAAGTATCAGCATTCTTATACCCATATGGTTACTTTGTTTTTTCCCCCATTGGTAGGCACAGCAACTCTATGAAGAGCTGTCTATAGATCCTCTAAAAGTTCACAGTTTGTTACAGTTGGGATTTACTGCTCAGGAAGCTCGACTTGGCTTGAGGGCTTGTGATGGAAATGTAGATCATGCTGCCACCCATATTACCAACCGAAGAGAGGTACTTTAACATTCTCTGTTTATATGTTTGTCAAACATCTATACTCTGTTCCTTGAATAGGTAGTGAGACTTAAGACCAAACCAATACTATACCAGCCATCAGTGTCAGAGAAAACTGTTTATCCCTTTTGACTCAAGTTTCCTGACTTCAGAAGAGTGGAAACTTATTCTACTTTTCCAGTAGGTATTAATTACAATGTATTGTTAGAACAGGACATGAAAAATTTTAAATTGAATCACTTGATTAATTGGAAGTTTAATGTTCACAGTTGTATTTACTCCAGTAACAAGTCCTGGTTCTGCTCTCTGGAGCAATACAGAATAAGTCTATTACTTCATCTGTATTTCATGCACCGTGGCTGGATTGAGATTAGGTAAAAAGAGGTTATCACTGCTCTGCTTTTTTTCTGTTTGTTTGATATTGCCAGGCAACCCTAGGGGATGTTATCCTAAATCATGGATTTATGTTATAGAGCATGGATTTAGAAAACTGCATAGGAAATCTCCTAAGATCCCAGTTATACAGTCTGCTCTTGTGAAATAAAAAGATAAGGACGATTTCTTTATGACTTCAGCTATGTGAACTTGTACTTGTGGCTAGGCCTAGAATAGGGAGATTGGGTGAGGATTATCTGTTGAACGACAAACATTTAAATAATGGTTCTTGTTATATGTTATCGAAGCATCCATTCTCTCTATTTCCTGTATTCCCTTCTCCTTCCTTTCTTCTTCCTTCCCCCAGTCCCTCCTACACAAAGAGAGTAGAATAAAGTTCTTTAAATTTTTTCTTGAGGTTGTATGCTGAGAACAGTACTGAGGAAGGACTCAGATATAGGGATGTAGTTGAGCTCAGTGCCCAGCGTACTAGCCATATGGGTTATTGAACATTTATCAGTCAGTATAACTTCATTCTGTTTGAATTGTCTCCTAAAGGAAATTGCCCAAATAAAGAAAGAGGAAAAAGAAAAAAGAAAAAGAAGACTGGATAACATAAACTCTTTGAAAGGAATGGGCTATTCGGCTCATGCTGCAAAAGAAGCTCTCCACCAGGCAAGAGGAAACCTGGATGAAGCACTCAAGGTAAGTGGAAGGATTCATCCATTCTATGTCTTCGTCACAGGCCTCGTTCTCTGAAACACCATGTACTGTACTGAGGACGCTTGGCCACCAGGGCCTGGAGATCACCCACCACCCCTGGGAGACCCAGGACTATGTGTTCTTCTAACTCCAGCATAAAATCTCTTGAGGTTTTAAAATTTCATCTGAACTTTGTTTCTCAGTTGGTGTTTAATTTAGTGTTTGCAAGCAAATAGACTTTCCAAAAAAAAACCTAAACCTCCAGTGCCCGTTTCTTCCCCTTCTCTAGCCTTATACTCAATCAGGAGACCCATTTCCCCTTCTATCTTTCCTACCTCAAGAACAGAGATGAAGAAATTAGACATCCTCTAACTTTAGCACAATTGTACAATTAAAAGACTAATGACATTTTTTAACAAAACGGAGGTCTGTTCACAACATTTGTCGATCTAACTGTATTGATACTATAAGTCATAAGGCCTGTAGAAGATCATGGCAAAATTTGGTTGCCTGGAGAAGTCCACCAGTATTGTACACCAGTTTCACGATGGCATGCTTGCACAGGTTCTGGATAATGGACAGTGCTCTTGCATTTTCCCGGTCATCAGTGGAGTGAAGCAGGGCTATATGTTTGCTCCCATGACTTTTAGCATGTTGTTTTTAGTGATGTTGTTGGATTCCTTCAACAAGGATGAAACAGCATCAAGGTCAGCTACCACCATGATGGTAAATATTTAACTTGAAAAGGCTCCAAGCCAAGATTAAAGTGGAGGGAGAGTTTGTGTGTGACTTTTTGTTTGCAGATGATTGTGTGCTCATCGCAGCCTTTGAGGGTGAGATGTAACAGAGTATGGCTAAAATTTCTGCTGCTTGTGCTAATTTTGGTCTAACAACTAACACCAAGAAAAAACAGAGGTTCTCCACCAACCAGCATTACACCATCCATATGCGGTACCATCAGTTACAACAAGTGGAGAAATGTTTAATGCTATGGATAAATTCACTTATGTTGGCAGTATACTTTCCAGGGATGTACACATAGAGGATGAGGTTGATGCACACATTGCCAGAGCTATCTCAGCATTTGGGAGGCTCTAAAAGAAAGTGTGGAAGAGAAGAGGTATTAGACTGCCTAACATCCTGAAGGTCTACAGAGCCGTTGTTCTGTCCTCATTGTTGTATACCTGTGAAACCAAGATAAACTGCTAGGACCATGCCAGAAAATGGAACTGCTTCCATTTGAATTGTCTTAAAAAGACCCTGAAAATCGCCTGGCAAGATAAGGTACACTGAAGCCCTTTCTTGAGCTGGACTGCCAAGCGTTCAAACTTTACTGCAGAGAGCCCAACTCTGATGGGCTCACCATGTTGTTCAAATGTCAACTGTATGTCTTTTGCCTAAAAGACTGTTTTATGGATAACTCACACAAGGCAGGTGCTTACATGGTGGTCAGAAGAAACAATACAAGAACACTTTCAAGGTCTCTTTGAAGAGCTTTGGTATCAGTTATAAGACATGGAAGATATTGGCACAGGACCACTCAGCCTGATGGTAACTCAAAAGAAATGAAATGTGAAATGTACAAGTTTAGAGAGGTCTCCCTCCCAGATGTTCATGTAGACTATTTGTGCCTGACCTGTGGTAGAGCCTTCCAAGCTCAAAGTGGTATGATCCGCCATAGCCAGGCACGTTGTATATTGACCTTAACATCACAATGTCATTTTGGTCCTCTTCAAGCATGAAGGACAAACAACTTTCCAAATCAAAAATTTGTTTAAAAAACAAAAAACTCCATATAAACTATTGGAAATAGGAGCACTTCATGTATTGTAGAGAGTTATAAAATGTAGGTAACCTCAGTGCTTGACATTTTAATAGCAGACTGGATAAAGTTCTTTGAAAAACAGATTAGAGAGAATAAGCCTGTATTGCCAAGGGCTTAATATAAAGGTAGCTTTTTCTAGGTTTTGAGTTCTGCTTTAGAACCTGAGTGGGGAGTGACATTTATATTCCATATGGATCGGTAGCTTGTTATTCCTGTGTATTTTAGATTCTTCTTAGTAATCCTCAGATGTGGTGGCTAAATGATGCAGATCCTGAGACTAGCAACAACCAGGAACATGTTTCTCAAGAAAATATTGATAAGGTGAGTGCTAATGCCTTTGTGTCCCTCAAAGCATCACAGAGATCTCTTCAGTTGCAGAGATAGGGGTCAAGAAAGAGACAGTGCCTCAGCTATTCTGGCCTCTTGTCCTGGAGACAGTCAAACATTGGGAAGCTGTGGAGGGTGTATTCCTGGCAGGAGAAAACCAAGGGAACAACTTAGGACTTTATCTTGTCTTGTACACATTTACTTAAGGAAGCAACTAGTATAGTCTGAGTACTTAGTTAAGTACAAATATTACTAATTTGTATAGTACCTTTCATACAGAGGCCTCAAGGTTTTCTTTGGAGGAATCGGAACTAAAGGCAATGGTAAAACTACTCCTTTTCTCAAGGGAAATTAAGATGCTTGACTCAAATGTGCTCACCACTTGAATTACTTGGAGTCAGACTCATAGAATTCAAAACATTTAATTTGGGAAAAATTTGATGTTCATGATATGATCTTTTTAAAAAATCCTCTTTAAAATAAGCCTAGGACTAACCAGTTGTGGTCCCAGAGAAGACATAATGAAACATAGTTCCTTAATCTTAGAATAAGGAGATGAGACCTATGTTACAGAATGGTATGTAATCTGTCAGATTATGTTTGTTCTGTTGGCTAGTTTTAGTCAACTTTTTTCAATCTTAGAGCAGAGTGTTCATTGAGGGGGGAATAGGGGTAAATCAGGAAATAACTGGTATAAAGAACAAAAGGTCTGATGAATTTTAAGAAATAAGCTTGGGGATTGACTGTCTCATTGGATGATGTAAGTGCTTACAGCAACCATTAACAAACCTCAAGTTTTGTATACTACCTGAATTTTCTATTTTCTACTATCTGTAATTTTCCATTTTTCTGCTTTAGTTGGTATATATGGGTTTTGAAGCAGAGACAGCCAAGACAGCTCTCAGAGTATTTAGAGGAAATGTTCAACTGGCTGCTCAGACACTTGCTCATAATAGCGGAACTCTTCCGTCTGACTTACAAATACCATCTGAAGATTCTTCTTCCACCTCATCAACAAAATCCCCTTCAGATTCTGCTGGTAAGACTATGGTCTAGCTCTTGATTAGTGGGAAACTGATCGTACTGAGAAAGGAGAACAGTTGCATGACTTTGGGCTGCAGAAATAGAAATAGAAGCCTTAGGTGGGAAGGCTGGGGCTGCCATACTGGTTTTGCATAGCGATTGATTACTTGGGAGAATATGTAATTAGAAGAAGACATATTCTAAAACTGACTTTGGTAGACCATTATTTGTTTGATTTTTCCCCCCTTTTATCCCATTTTAATATTTTATTTTAGGTACTTCTAGTGCCTCAACAGATGAAGATATGGAAACAGAGGCAGTCAATGAAATCTTGGGTGATATTCCAGAACATGAAGAAGATTATCTTGACTCAACTCTAGAAGATGAAGCACTGGTTATTGCTGAGTACTTATCCTATGTAGAGAATATAAAATCAACAAGCCAGAAAAAGTAGATGACAAATTGAAATAAGTACCTTAATTTTGTGCTTATAAATTCTATCTGTATAAAAAAAAAAATCTAATACAGTCCTTCATTTTTTTTCTTCTTCCCTATTGCTTGCTTTGAGTACTTGAAAGATATTCCCAGGATAGGGGATAGGGAAGATAAAGGACTATAAAGGCAGGGACCGAGGAAATCCCTGAAATGTTTAGTAGTTGGAGCCATGGTGGGGAGGGCATAAAGAAGGGAGATTGTTCTGGCCTAACTTGCTTTTTGCTGTCTTCATTCAAGCTTGGCCTCCTCACCTTGGTCTACCTGGCCCCACTTCTTTTTCCTTGCAGGTGAGATTGGGAGCTAGAGAGGGCCATTTGGAAAAAAACAGGGTTTCCCTAACCCCTTAATGTAGTTTCTGGCTTTGTAGCTGTGGACCTTGACCCTCCTTCCTCCTAAGACCGAGCTCTGGATAATTTTTCTTCACATAGTGCCTGTCCTTGCCTCCGAAGCACTTGTGCCTTTCTGTATCAACTTGGCTGCTACTGTCACTAAAATTGTTTTAAATCTCTATTCCATGTGCAAAAAAAAAACAAACAGATGAGTGCGCTGCAGGTACAGAATAAAATAATGGTAAATGACTGGAGCTTTTAAATACCTTGATTATATAGTAAAATATACATTTGAAATTTAGGTCAGGAATTTTTACACATCAGCAACTTTTTTTCCACAAACTTTATTCAGTTATTAAATGGAAGGCAGAGCAACTCTATTTTTAAGTAATCTGTTCCAAATCTTCACTGTCATTTAAATGTCATTGCTAGCAGAGAAAACTGTAGTGGAAACAAATATTTTATGACAGATTTTTTTGTATGCTTATATTTCACAGAGTTTATTTCTAAGGCTTTGTGGTTAATATGTTTAGTGGAATGAATAAATCATTTTCCTAACACCAAGATTTCATCCATGTAACAAAAGGAGAACCCGAGTGCAAGTGTTGTCCCTTGGGCTCGTCTCAGCCTCCTTAAAGCCAGTGGGATCTACACTGATTGAGGGCAAACGTTGACCCCCCCCCCCCAAAGCCTGATGGTTATTGTCAAGAGACTGAAATCACCACAACAGCTTGGGCAGTGGTTTCATTTGAATGAGCAAAGGCCATTTTTTTGTAGTTCCCTTCAAACGGCACAAGAAAGGTGGGTGAGATCTTTCTGCCTCATTAGCTTAGCCCTTCTTAGCACTGTTGGATGGAAAAGTCCTGACTTGAAAACTGTTAAGGGTTATGGCTCCTGGATGAATCAGAGGTTCCTTTAAACTACTGTAAGTTTACATATTCCTTGTGTTCTTTGTCCTGACCCCATATCTTTTCATCAGAAGAACTGAGGAAGCTTTTAGCTTTACACTTCATTGAAGGCTTGAAATTCATTTAATGTCAAGGCAAAAGGAAAATTAGAATTTTTTCAGATTTATTGTGCTACAGTTTCAGAATTGGCAGTGGTAGCAAGGTATATCAGAGAGAAATGGCAAGGTACCCATTTGCTTTGGGAGAATGCTGAAGGAAGCTCCCAGGGGGAGGGAAATCTGTATTATACACATCTGTAAAATGGGCATACTTGCACTCTTTTTTCCACATAAACCCTAAAGGGATTGTTTTGAGTTATTTCAGGGTTTTCAGCTTACAAGCCACTTCGATATTACTTACCATTTTGAGGCTAGGAAATTATACAGATAACTTCACAGATGTTGTTTTAATTGTAATAGAAAAGAACTGCCATACTGTACCAGCCTGTTCCTGTCTTTACTGCATTGCCGCATAAAAGGATTTGACAGAGAACAAAACAAATGCCTATTCCTTGAATAAGAACTTGGTCCAAAATTGAGGAGTTTCTCTTTTGGGTCAGTTTTACTTATTTATACATTTTAACATCCTAACAGATAGGTCATTGGAATAATAAATTGCCTTTCAGGTTGGTGCAGGAATGTGGATTTTAAGAACCTTGGATGAAGGGTGAGGAAGGAGCAGGGTGACCCATTGCAGTCGAAAGAGTGGGCCAGGAAGAAAAATTGGATATTCTCAGCCATTTAGGAAGTGCGTTTTCAGTTCCTGTTCCAAAGAAAATAAGCAGTGGTGGAAGTGGGCTCAACAGCTGGGGAGCTGAGTAAATGAATTCATCCTTTTAGCAGAGTACAAGGGAAAGAGTGCATTGGTTCCTCTAGCTATGACAGGAAAACCAGAAAAATGAGCACCCAGTGTATTCGTGGCACTTTGTTAAACGCTACAGAAGAGGCATAAGACAAAATCACTACCCCTCAAACCGTGCTATAATCAAAAAGAGAGAGACTGAGGGCCTGAGGGGGTAGCCCATTTGGATAAAAAGTAGGCAAAGGGACCAATCTGAGCAAAGACATGAATGATTGTATGATCCTGGAAAATAATGGAAGACCTGGCTGGAGCCTTGCATGAAGTCGCCGATACCAGAGTGTCAGCTTGGTCGTTCAAAAGGGTACCACCTGAATTCTTGTTTTATTCTTTTAGTGAGCTACTCAGTAACCACTCCATTGTGTCACTGTGGTGGTGGTTTTAATCTCCTTCCTAGGAGTACTTCCTTATTCAAGATGCAACAGGTCAACATGAGAAGACCAGATGATGGAAATAGCGTGTTTTATGTGTAATACTGCTATACCCGGCTTATAACCCATGAGTTTTTGCCATCATTTCTTAGCACCAAACAGCATTGTTTTTCTAGATGAGAGAGGAGGAGTTCTCTCCTTGGAAGGTCCCTGATTCTGGTGTGCTTTTCTGACTAGTGTGAGGCCTGAGCAGCCGGATACATAGAGTTCACTCCTCTCTCACCTCCCGTGGTACCGCAAACAGCATCTTGGATGCCTCCATCAGGAAATGCAGTGATCCATTGATGATCATCTTGTCAGTCATCCCAGAGAGCAGAGATCTGCCCTGCCTTTTCTTGCCAACTCCAAGCTCATAAGACAGAATAGGCACTTAATAAAAGCTTGTTGATGGTATAAGACATCTCAACAAGTTTGTAAACTTTTTGAAAGTAATCTTTTTTTTCCCTACATCCTCCATGGTTTCTGGCATAGAACTATGCGCTTAAGTCCTCAAAATATGCCAGACCCAACCCCTGCTCCAGGGGGACCAATCTGGCCACCCCTTCTCCTCCCTTCCACTTCTCCAAAGCTCAGTTCTTTCATGAAGTTTTCCCCAATTCTGATCCTCAAAGTTCTTTCTGCCCTAAACCCTAACACTTACTGTTCATCTATTAGTATCTTGCATGATTTAAATCTACTGATGTGTACGTTGAACCTTCAAATTCCTTGGAAGTTGGGATTATGTTTTATGACCTACCTTTGCAACATTGTTGTTCTATTAAAGTTGTTGACTGAGGACCCTGGAGAAGAGCCTGGGCCAGTCTCCCCATCAGGTGCAGAGAAGTCAAAAATCCTGAGGGTACTTAATTTCTCCATTCGCCACACAAAACAAAGGCAACTCTCTACCCCAAACCAGGAAGCCATAGGGCTTACCCCTTATTTTTACAGACCTTCATTTTCTTCTGGGTTTAGTAGTCATCACACATGGTCCTCCAACTCCTGTTTATATGTCCACATCACCCAAACTAATCAACTCTCCAGTAATCTGCATGAATTAGAGGAGTTTGGTTGTGTGGATAACCCACAGATGAGTTAAGTAGTCACTCCAGACACCCCCACACAATCCCTCTTATAGGCCAGGCAGAATTGGGTATCCTGGGAGACCTAGCTGGGCATCAAGCTGAGAGCAGTCCTGATCCTTGTAGCTGGAGTATAAGAAATGAGACATTGCATTCTAAGGGATAAGAACCAGCAGAAGCCAAATACCGCTCCAAACTAAAGAGTTTGTGAGGAAGGTATCGTGGAAGAAAAGTTTCAGAGCCAGAAGGGATGTTAGGGACCATAGAGTAAGTACAATGGAAAGTCGGGAGAAATCTGGAGTTTTTAATCCTAACCCTGTCACTTAAATTGTGATGTGACCTTGGATCTCTCGGGCCTCTATTTCCCCATGTGTTAAATGAAAAAGTTGGTCTAAAGCAGAGATGTCAAACCCTTAGCCCACAACACTCCCTACTGCAGCCCAGCCTAGATTAAAATGAAATGGGGGAATATTTAACAAAATAAATAAAAATAGAATAAAATGTGGTTTTCTAAGTTAACATGTAGCCCACAGGGATTCTCACACAATTCAGTGGCCCTTGTTTCTATTGGAGTTTGACTCCACTAGTTTAAAGGATTTTTAAGGTTCCTGTGGTTGCACATAGCCTGATCTACCTAATTTTACAAACTGGGAGCCTGTGGCTCAGAAAAGTTAACTTGTCCAAGGTTCCTTGAGGTGTCAGTGGGAGAGATGAGACTCCAAAGCCATCATAGCACCCAGCCTCACCTGTGTTTACTGCACCCCTCTGAACAAAACCTAGAACTTGGCCTAAGAGTTTTACAGGATTAAATCAAGAAAAGCACATCAAGAGAGCATGGCTAGCAAACAATATGTATTTCAGTTCTCTATCAAGTTCCCTCATCACAGAAAACTGACCAAAATGGAAAAATGACAGCGATCACATACATATCCATGGCTCAATGGTTATCTTTTGAAATATTTTTTTAAAAAATGTAATGTCTCCACTCTCTTCTCATTGAGTTGGGGAGTTAAGGTTCTGGCTTCATTTGGGGATTCAGAGAGTGGAGGGATTAGTGTCTGATCTCTTATTCCTAAGCAGGAGAATAAGAGCTCAGGTTGTTGATCCATGACAGAGAGAGAAGTTAGGGTTTGCCAAGTTCGTGTCTGAGGAGTAGTGGCCAGTCTTGCCCACAAGAAAGGCTTAATCTTGTGCTCTCGGTGAGCTTTCACTTGGTTATCCACAGTGGTAATGGGTCTATGTTGGGGGAAGGTGAGGGAGTGGAGAGAGGAGAGGGAGAAATAGATGGAGAGAATAAAAAGAACAGGGAAAGACAAAGTGGGAAATCGATAGTGACAACATGCAGAGGAAATGAGATGGGGGGTAAAAAGGGAAAAGGAGAGGAATTGGAGAAAATGTGTGGAGAGAAGAATTGAAGAGGCAGGGGAAGAAAAGGGGAAGGATGGAGGAGGGAGAAGAGAAAAATGGAGACAAAATTCCCAAAGCAAAAGTGTAACCTATGTCACCTCATCCCTTGCCAGACAATGTAATAAAGGCAGAATCTTCTTGCTTGTCTCTTCCTTTTTTGTTTCCTTGAGAACAGGGCTCTAGTGCTGGGCAGCAGCTGGTTGCAGAGAGGAATTTTTAAAAATAGTTTAAAATTACAGTTATATGATAATAGGCATACAGAAGAAACTTATCTAGTCCTACAGGGCTCCTTTGTCAGTCCCAGCCAGAAGTCCTAGAGGCACATGAATCAAGGCTTCTGTACCATCATGACCTACGTGAAGTAACACCACAAGGCATTCAATTTCCTGAGCTCGTCAAGGAAATGGATTTTCAAACATTCACTTCAATACTCTCTGAGCTTGGGACCTTCTAGTTTTCCCTTCTGCTGAGTAACAGACAGCTTGGTTTTGGCGACCAATGGCTAACTAAGGTCCGTTCTATACTCCAGGGTCACAGTAGCTCAATGGTCTCACACTCCCCACCCTGAGGTGGAGTCACTGTGCAACCAACTTTGTTGTTGAAGAGCTGGGAGAGGCTCCTTTTGGGGGTGCTGCGATTCTGGGCCAGCTCCCTCTTGGGGCGGCTACGCAAATTTTGCTTGCAGACTCCATGAATGTCCCAGATCCTCAGTGTGCCATCGTGGGAAGCTGTGTAGAGCACCTCATTGTGAACCTGAAATAACATGGTCATATTTCATCCTGCTGGGTCTGGGGCAGAATACCAGGAAGCCCACAGGGCAGGATGGACCTGGGGTTGTTGGGGAAGGGGGTAGAAACTCCTGCAAATTTTCAATTATATACCATGATGAGGGAATGGAGTGATATAGATTCAATTCAAATCAAGTAAACCAACATTTATTAAGCACTTTATATATGTAAGACTGGTGGGTGCTAGAGATACAAAAATGGAACATGGATATAGTCTCTGCCAACAAAGAGCTCTGACCGTAATCCAGGGAGAGCAGAGTTAGACCTAGCAACTTTGTCATAAATGGAGCAAATAGAATGAAAATTGCCCTCAAATTAACTTGGAAATTCATGATGTGAAAATAATGAGGATTGTTGTAAAAATATAAACCTAACAAATTTTTGAATTGCACACACAATCTTTATTTATACCCTCTAAATTTTAGCACCCTAGGAAAAGCTCCTGTTGACCTGACCTAGTTAAAACTTAAGTGAAGTAGGGAGGACACAGCACCAAATAAGTATTACGTAAGGCAAAGTGCTATAAGACCAAAAGAGTTTCAGGCAAAGTGCTGTAGGAAAATATGAAGAGGGAGAGATTGCTTTCAGCTGCGGGGATCAGGGAACGCTTCATGAAGGCCATGGCACCTGAGCTGGTCCTTGAAGGATGAGAATTCTAACAAGTGGAGGTGAGGAAGCAGTGCATTCCCTGCATGGTGGTGGATGGCTGTGTGGATACATGGAGGTGGGGGTGGCAACAGGAAATACAGATGGAAAAGCAGATGAGAGTCAGAATGTGGAGGACCTTCAATGCCAGGCCAAGGAGTTTGTATTTTATCTCTCAGGCAATAGGGAACCTCTTAAAACATTTTTGAGAAAGGGGAGTGATGTGGCCAGATTCATATATTAGGAAGAGTACTTTGGTCAATCCAATATGCTTCTTTGGTGCTTTTAAGTCTATGATTCTGTGATCCTACTGCAATGTCTGTGATTTCATCGAAGTGGGTACTCCCTCTAACAGTGCAGACTGATGCTCTGGATAGAGTTGCTATGTGTGTGTGTGTGTGTATATTTAGGTTTTATACCCATGACTAGATTGTAAGATCCTTGAGGGCACAGAACATATCTTCTTGTGACTCACCTTCCAAATAACTAGGCATACAGGGGAACACACCAAAGATTTGTTGAACTAAACTAAATGCACCAAGGATAGATTGGCTTAGGATGCTGGTCACAATGTCAGATGATTCTGAGCTTCTGGGCAAAGCTATTTCTTAACAAGATTGTGAAGTAGACAAAACTTAAATTTTGTGGTCTCCTACTTGCCATCAGAGGCTCTTCTGACCTGGACACTATGAACAACTGCCCCGTGTTTTTTTTTTGTTTTGTTTGTATTGCTTTATTTCACCTTTCTTTGTATCCGTAGTACTAAGCACAGTGCCTGGCACATTGTAGGTACCTAATAATTGCCGGGTCGTTGACTAATTCTCCAATGTCACATGCTTTTTCACAGCTTACTGACAAGCAACCCTTGCCAAGTTGTTAGCTAGGAATGAAATAGTTAACTGATAAGTAAAGAATTAGTGAATAACTAAAGTGTTATCTGACAAAGCATTAAGAATTAAAATTCTGTGCTAGCTATTAACTAAGAAATTAGGTGATAGTAAGCCCTTTCAGTATTTTAAAAGGGTAATCCTGAACAAAACATTTACCCCCTTTTGCTTTGCCCAGAAGGCCAACTACTATTGACCAGAGCCAATAGGGTGCTCAGTAGTCAATTAGGGAGAAGAGGATGGTAGATCTGGAGTTGGAAAGGACCCCGGAGATCATTTGGTGCAATCCTCTTACTTTTCAGGGGACCATTAAGACCGAGTGCTTTGCTCATTGTCACACATGCAGTAAGGGGCAGAGATGGGATCTGAACCCAGGTCCTCTAAAAGCCAGTGTAAAGGTAAATGTAGAACGTGACTAATTTGACCATGTTTCTCTCCCCACAGTGAGAGGAATGTGAGTGTCCCAAAGGGGTCATCAGTGTTCCTATCCCAATTCATCTCCATTCAACTGCACAATCTACCTGGGTGGCTTGCTACCTACGTAACCTTGTGCAAGGCCCTTAACCTCTCTGGGCCTCAGTTTCCCTTTGTATAAAATGAACGTTTGGATTAGATGAGGTTCCTTCTTACTCTACAGCGAGGATCCTAAGGTCTACTATTGCTTGTAAACATTTCATATTCTTCCCCATCACCTGTTTAGTCCCCTCTAACACAAATCTCCCCATCCTGTACCTATTGTAGTCATGGAATGCTATAAGATATAAATATATTATATTATAATTATATTATGTATAGTACTATACAATACCATGCTATATTATTGTAATTATCTTAACAATATAATATGTGTTAATAGTAATAAAATAATATTATATAATAACATCATATAACTATAATTATAAATATAAAAACACAGGAGCACTAGGGGTAAATGAGCCCTTCACTATTTCCAAAAAAAAAGGAAACAGAGAAGTTATGAGTTGTACACCAGGGCACATGGTGGAATGAACCAAAAAACTGATGGTAATCTCTAAGCACTATCTCTACATCTACTCACCACCTCCAACTTCCACAAGCTCCCAATAAAAACTCACAACATATCCCTAAAAGAAATCCACACCTTTATGCATCAAAGCCAGATTTCTCCCTCATTTCAGGGGGAAATGAGCCTGGTCTGTAGTATATACACTAAGGGGTTAGATAAAAAACCAAGGAGGAGGTCTGTGAGAGATTATGAGGCTAAAAGTGGAATATGATCAATTTTTCTAAGGCTGAAGTAAATCCAAAACTCAGTTTTTCTCGACCCTCTAATAACCATGTCAATAGGCTTCCAAACCCGGAAAGTCTCTTGGCCCTACCTGGATGCAGTTGATGATGAAGGTGTGGCCCCGGAATACCCTTTGTAGCACACCAGACTCGGTATTGAATGCTCGGGCACAGGCATCCCCACTGCCTGTAAACACTGCAAATATAAACACATGTAGGTGTTGGCTAACAACAGACTATACCTGGATGGCAAGAAGGCTTCTGCCTCTCTCCAGGCCTCATTTCTCCATCAATTAAATAGGTATGTATAAATAATAATCATTCCCCATGTCAAAGGGTCAAAGGATATGAACAGGCAGTATTCAGAAGAAGAAATCAAAGCTATCAATAGTCATATGAAAAAATGCTGTAAATCACTATTAGAGAAATGCAAATTAAAACAACTCTGGGGTACCACTTCACATCTATCAGATTAGCTTACATGGCAGAAAAGCAAAATGACAAATGCTGGAAAAAAAAAGGGACATTAATGTACTATTGGAGTTGTGAACTGATCCTACCATTCTGGAGAGCAATTTGGAACTATGCCCAAAGGGCTGTAAAACCATGCATACCCTTTGACCCAGCAATCCCAGTACTAGATCTGTAACTCAAAGAAACCAAAGAAAATGAAAAAGGACCTATATGTATAAAAATATTTATAGCAACTCTTTTTGTGGTGGCAAAGAATTGGAAATCAATTGGGGGATGACTGAACAAGTTGTGGTATAAGTCTGTGATGGAATGCTATTGTGCTATAAGAAATAATGAGCAGAATAGTTTCAGAAAAATCTGAGAAGTCTTCCATGAATTGATGCAAAATGAACTGAGCAGAACCAGGAGAACACTGTAGACAGTAACAGCAATATTATAAGGATGATCAATTGCAAAAGACTTAACTATTCTGATCAATGCAATGATCCAAGACAATTCCAAAGGACTTCTGATAAAAAAATGCTATCCATCTCCAGAGAGAGAGAGAGCTTGAAGTATGAGTGTAGATTGAAGCATAATTTTTTCACTTTATTTTTCTTGGGGTTTTTTGGCAATATGGCTAATATGGAAATAGGTTTTGCATAATTTCACATGTATAATTGATATCACATTGCTTGCCTTCTCAATGGGTGAGGGAGAGACGCAGGCAGAAGGGAAAGAATTTGGAACACAAATTTTTTTTTAAATTGATGTTAAAAATAAATTTAAAATTTATTTAAAAATAAAATAGGAACAATCATCTATCAGTGGTTTCCTGTTGCCCCCAGGATAACATACAAACTTCAGTTTCACCCTTCATAATCTGATTTCAGCCTTCTTTTTCAGATTTATTATATATTACTTCCCATCGCTTTGTGGTCCAGACAAAGGGCTTACTTACTTTCTATTCATCAAACTTGGGATTCCATTTCCCAGTTCCATGTTTTTATGCCTGCTGTCAACCCATGCCATTTCCTTCCTCTCACCTCTGTGAGGGGAGAATGACAAAAATTCAGTTCCATTCAAGGGTCAGCTCATGTGCTACCACCTAAGGAAGGCTTTCCTAACCACTTCCCCCCACTTGTTGTTAGTGCTCACTCCTGCCTAAAATTATCACATATATACACATATGTATATATAATGTATATACATGTTACATATACCACATATGTTATATATTGTGTATATTAGATCAATATCTGTATTATGCTGTAAAATGCAAATTCCTTGAGGGCAGGAACTGGTTTTTGTATTGTCTTTGCATTCCCAGTCAGTCAACAAGAATTTATTAAACTATTGTACTATATAAGAACTGACAAGCAGGCAGATTTCAGAAAAACCTGGAAAGACTTACATGAACTAATGCAAAATGAAGTGAGCAGAACCAGGAGAACATTGTACATAGTAACCACAACTGTGTGATGATTAACTATGATACACTTAGCTCTCCTCAACAATGCAATGATTTAAGACAAGTCCAAAAGACTCATGATGGAAAATGCTATCCATATCCAGAGAAAGAACTGATGGAGTCTAACTTCAGATCAAGGCATACTATTTTCACTTTCTTTCCTTTTTTTTTCCCATGGGGGCAGGAAGGGGAGGGAGAAAGGGAGAAAAACTGTAACTGAAAATTTTATATAAAAAATAAATGTTAAATAAAATAAAAACAAATAAAAAATTTAAAAACAAGCATTTATTAAATTCTTACTATGTGCCAGGCTACAAATGAAGGTACAAACACCATCCCTGACCTTGAGGAGTTTCCATTCAAAGGAAAGAGACAACCTGTAAATAACCAGGTACATACACGATATATATACAGACAACAGGAGGTGATTTGAGAAAGGCATTAGTTGCTAAAGGGATCAGAAAAGGCCTTTCAGCAGAAGGTGGTATCTGAGCTGAATCTTGAAGGAAGCTGGGGAAATAGAGAGGGAGAGGCGAGAAGGAGCGAATTCCCGGTGCAGGGGCAGCAAGTACAAATACCTGAAGCCTGGTGATGGATTGTCATGTTTGAGGAAGTGGAAGTAGGCCAATGTCTCTGGATTGTTGAGTTTGGGGAAAGGCCCCAGATTAGAAAAGAGGCCAGGTTATGAGAAGCTTTGTTGTTGTAGTTTGTCCTTTGTTCTTGAAGAGGACCATGACATCAGGAAGGTGAGGCCATGACATGCAAGTGAATTGGATTTAAGGGAGGGAGGGCTGTGTCAATTCACCAACCTCACTTTCTCCTTCAGAGGCATCTGGGACCAGTGGCCAGATATAGATCAGGATGACTGGAGATGGAGGAGCTTTACATGCCAAAAAGAGGACTTTATACTTGATCTTGGAGGTAATGGAGAGCCATTGATGCTTGGGGAGCAGGCAGTGAAATGACTGGACCTAGGCTTTAGAAAAACCACCTTGGCACCTGAGTACCCAGTGCCTTGCAAAAGCAGGGGCTTAATAAATGCTTGTTGGTTTGGACTGGATTCAATCACTATCTCCTCCTGCCTCTAGTCCACCCTCCTAGCAACAGAGCCAGAAGGAAATGTGAGAATGGGTTGCAAAGTTTCGTTCAACAGTGCAGATAAAAAATCTTATTCATCTGCACAATGGGGATAATATTTGGTCCCCCATGCTCACCATGATCCTTCCTGTCCCCCCCCCCCCAGCTAGAATCATAAGATTTAAAGAAGGAAGAAGCCTTAGAGACCATGTAGTCTAACACCTTCATCTTACAGATAAGGAATCTTAGGCCCCCAGTCACACACTAGTGAAAATATAGCAAGAGTAGTAATAGAAAGGGCAACTAGGTGGCACAGTGGATAAGAGTACTGGGTTTAGAATCAGGAAGACTCAACTTCCTCAGTTCAAATCCAGCCTCAGACACTTACTAGCTGGGTGACCCTGAGTAAGTCACTTAACCCTATTTGCCTCAGTTTCCTCATCTATAAAATGAATTGGAGAAGGAAATGGCAAAGCATTCTAGGATCTTTGCAAGAAAACACCAAATGGGGTCACAAAGACTCAGACACGACTAAAACAACTGAACAACAGTAATAGAAAAGTTAGGATCCGAACCAAGTTCCTCTGACTCCAAGTCTTCCTTACGTCCCACTATATCCAGCTATCTCCACAGACTTATTATGGGGAGACTCCTCTACCAACCTTACAGAGTCATATGAATGTGATATGTTAGCTCTTACTATCCCAGGCATGAAAAGCATCATGATGTAATGGGGAAGGTTCCACATCAACAATCAGAAGACGTGGTTTCTTGTCTTACTTTTATCCCTAGTCACTTGCACTGAGCCTTGAAGGAAAAGTAGTATTTTAATAGCAGAGAAGAGACAGGAGTGTACATTAAACATCCTTCACTCCTCCTGCCTCCCACTCCTGGAAAAACCAAACCAGAAACTGACCCAAAGCCCTGAGATCCACTGGTACCACACCAGTGTTTGCTGAACACAGAATTCTGTGCCTCCCACACAGGGCCAGAGATGGGATGTAAAAGGGCCAGCCTAATGTGGGCCTTTATTTAAAAGAACCATTTTCATGGGTTCTTTTATCCATGAATGTCATGGATAAAGACAGTGAGGTTTGCTTCAAGCTATAGGGGAAGTGGGGTGACATGAAGCAGCTGAAGGTGGATCTGATTTACAGCCATAAGTCAGTTCCTCATAAGCTGTTCAAATGGCCTCTGGGAGCTGAGTGTTCTGATTTTTAAACTGGGGTTTGGGAGCAGAGTCTCAATCACACCCACTGGCTGTGACACAGGAAGGAGAAAAGAACAATTTATCTTTTTCTGTGTCAGATCCCCTGCCTCTTGAGAGCAGTCTGGGTTCTATTCTCAGACACTCGGTACCATCCCCATCTGACACATCTGCACCTCTGACTGTGAAAATAGATTTTATGATTCCACCGTCACCTCATCAGCAACCTCCTCATTCCTCTCCCCAAGCCTCTCCAACTTGGGGGGGCAGTGAGGATGTGGTAGAGGTCTCTCATAGGTGTACCCCAAAGATCATTTTTCTGTCTAGCCAGACATCTTGCAGGGAACCTGAGAGGGTGTGTGACAGGCGTTAGGACAGCAGGGATGAGGAATGAGAGTGATAGGGATGGAGGACTGGCTTTTGAGAGGAGGGAGACCAAGGAACAGGAGAGCAAAAACATTTCAGGCAGGCTTGAGGACCCCATCCCAGATATAGGACGTGTGGTGTCTGTGATGTGCATGCAAACAGGTGGTTGGTTTGACAGGTTATCAGAGGCAAGCTATGAAAAATTCTGGAGAGTGGGGACCATGACAGACTTGAAGTCAGAAGGCCTGGCTTCAAGTACAGACTTTGAGACCTACTGGACAAGTTGCTTAACCTCTATCTGCCTCAGTTTCCTCATCTGTATAATGGATATGTTAATAATGCCTACTTCCCATGGTTGTTGTGAAGATAAAGCACTTAGCACTGCGCCAGCACGTAATTGGTGCTTAATAAATGTTTGTTTTCTTTGGGGGCCCTGAGGATACCACCACTTCTCTGATCCTGAATCATGAGAATTCTATCTTTGCCTAGTGCTTTTCAACTTGGGAGCTCAGAACATATAGGAATCCTCATTATGTTCTGTTGTGGTAAAGATGGGATGACAGCCCGATAGAGTGGAGAAGGTAATGGAGTCAGAGGGTCAGGATTTAAATGTTGGCTCTGCCATTCACTACCTGTGTGACCTTGGCTAAATCACTTAACCTCTTTGGGCCTCAGTTTTCTTATATGTAAAAAGAGAGGGTTGGACCAGATGATCCCCAAGGTTACTTTCATCTTTAAATATTTGCTAATAACAATAATGATAATGACGACAACAATTATAGCTAGCATTTGTATAGCCCATTAAGGTTTGCAGAGTGTTTTACAAATAATGTCTCATTTGATACTCACAACAACCCTGAGAGGTAGGTGCTATTATTATCCCCATTTTACAAATGAGGAAATTGAGGCAGACAGAGGTGACTTGTCCAGGGTCACACAGCTAGTAAGTATCTGAAGTTGGATTTGGACTCAGGTCTTCCTGACTGCAGATCCTGAAGTCTATCCAAGCCACCACCTAATTCCTTTAGGGATGGAAGGGGGAAGGGGAACACATGATAGGAACTTCTAGCCACTTGCCAGGAGTTAGCTGCAAGTTTGTGCCAAGGGTAGTGGTGAACAACAAAACTTTCCAGTATATTCCTCCCCCAAGGAGTAACTGATTAAGAACTAGAAACAATGATAGGATGTAAAAATTACTGGGTAGTTATGATATATTTCTACAAATATATAAAATAATATATAATATAAATTTTATATAAATATATAGAGTGATATATTTATATATTATATAAATTTAATATAAACATATAAAATAATATATTTATATATTATATAGAATATAAAAATTTATAGAAATATACAAAAATATATAAACCATATATTTTATAGCACTTTAAGGTTTACCAGTATGGTTTCTTCACAACTCCCCTGTGAGGTAGGTAGCCTAAGTATTATTGTATCATTTTATAGAAGAAACTGAGGCTCAGAGGGGTTAAGTGACAGTATCTACACTCCCACAGCTCTTAAGTTATCAGAGGCAGGATTTTTATCCTGATTCAAATGTCCAAGTATTCTTTCCACTTCCACCATGCTATCATAAAGAACTATAATTACTCTGAAACTATGCATCGCATTAAGTACGCTTCCCTCTTCTAATTACAAAGTGGTGATGGAGTAGCACTGGGGTGGGGAACCTGTGGCCAGGGCCACAGGACCTAGAGGACCTAGAGGGTGGCATGTGGCCTTGAAGCCACAGGTTTGCCGTGCCTGGAGTAGCCGATGGCCAAGGCCTGAGAGACATCTGACAGCCAGGTCATGTGCTCCAAGGTCTAACAAAGGGAATGAGCTCAGATCCTGAAGCATTTTACCACCTCCCTCTGTGAGAGAGGATAGCCCAGGCTGCTTAGAGGGGGTGAGAGCCGGGAAAAGAAGGGCCACTTACAGGTGCCGGCGTGATACTTGAGGGCACTCACGCTATGCTTGTGGGCCCTGAAAGTGCGCACACTCTCCCCTGTGTCTGCCAGCCAGCACTTCACCGTCCGGTCTGCACTTCCTGAATACAAGTGCCGATTCACCAGCTGCAAAACAGGACGAAGAGGGAAAGAGATCAGCCCCCACTGGAGTACAGCCCTCTTCCATACTTTTTGATTGGTCATGCCATCAGTAAGGAATTGGGGTTTCAAACCCGCCAACATAGATATATTTATTTTTTACATTTAATTTTTATTTTATTTCTTCTTAATTCATGTCTATAAATTATATACATATTACTAGACTAGTATATCATAGACTATACACATGCTAGACTAGTATATATGTACATTATAAAATATACACAAAACAGACATTAAAAAGAATGAGAGATGAAAAATAATATTTTCAAAATAATTTATTTAAATGTGGCTCACAAAAAGATCCCACTAGGAGTAGAAATGTCCTGCCTGCCCTTGTTCTATTCTAGCATTAGACTATTTGTCTTTAATTTCCAATTTTTTTGAAGGAATCTTTTTAAGCCACTTGGCCTTCTTGTGAGAGTCAGTGTAATTAAAATGAGATCACATAATCTGTAAAGCCACTTAACTGGGCACATGAAAATTGAAATGAATAAATGAAAGAAAAAGCATCTTCTGAGCCCTTGTGATGTGCAAAACACCAAAGTGCTGGGAATACAGAGAAGTGGAACCCGTGTGTTCCCAAGAAGCTTGTGTTCTAGTGGGACACAACATAGAGAGGGGATTTAAGCCTCGAGTCAGATGGCAAAGTCCCATGGTCCTTACAATGCAGCAGCAAAACTACAAAGAGTTAATGTTGTTTCCATTGACAAAATAATGTCTATTTCTGACTTTGAACTACTGGACAAGGCCAAGAACTTTGTTGTCTAGAACTTTCTCTTTTGGGTCTTCGTGGCTACTGAGTTGGGGGAAGGAGGGTGTACGTAGAGGTACAGCACCTGCATAGGTATTTCTTCCCATGCTGATAACTAGAGGGGCCAGGCTCAGCCGGGCCAGGGGTCTGGGGATGGGGAGAATCTGGCCAAGTATCAGCACATGCTGAAAGTGAACCAAGTGACAGCGCTCATTAACCATGTTATGGAACTCCTATTCTACCCTCAGGATATCACGCTTACCATGACGTGATTGACAGACAACTCAGTGAGGGGTGCCATTGTCAACCATATGTTAAATATTATTAGAGTTTAAATTCATTCTCTCTCTCTCATTTAAACAAAGAAACTCTTCTATTTTCTTCCTTCACTCCAATGCATCATCTTATACATCCCACTTTGGAGACCATAGGATGGAGGAAGGCAGGGAACAAGCATTTATTAAATGCCTACTGTATGTCACAACCTGTACTAAACACTTTATATGTATTATCTCATTTGCTTCTCGCAACCACCTTGGGAGTAGTTGAGTAAACTGAGGCAGACAGAGATCAAGTGACTTGCCCAGGTTCACCTAGAGAGTAAGTGTCTGGGTCATATTTGAACTCAGATCTTCCTGGTATCAGGCCCAGTGCTCTATCCACTGAGCCACCATGGCACCAGAACACCATTGCCAAGAATAACCATTCACTCACAGGCCTGTTACTGAAGTGGAGGCTAATGCCGTGATTTAAGTCAGCTCGTCGCATTCCTATCTCCCTGAGGGGCTCTCAGGGCCTCCCTTGACACAAGTGGGTGGAGCAGGCCTCACTGGAGGAGCACCAAAATCCAAATATCTTCTGCCCCTGGTGTGTCCTATAATGCCTAAAATTTCCATTGTTGTTTGGTTGTGCTTCAGTCATGTCTAACTCTCCACGATCCTATCTGGGGTTTTCTTGGCAGAGATACTGGAGTGGTTTGCCATTTCCTTCTGCAGCTCATTTTACAGATGAGGAAACTGAGGCAAACAGGGTGAAGTGACTTACCCAGGATCACACAGCTAGTAAATGTCTGAGGCCATATTTGAACTCAGGTCTTCCTGACTCCAGGCCTGGTGCTCTATTCACTGCACCACCTAGCTGCCCCAAAATTTTCTTTAGGAACAGTCATTGTTTCCAGACGGCGTTTGTAAAAATGTATGTATGTTACCCTGGAGAGTAACATGAACCTATTAATAGTTATCATCACACTAGTACGGAGACTCGCCCAAAAACAGGAGTTCTTAACCTGGGGTCTGTGAACTTGTTATTTTAAAAATATTTTTTGTAACTATACTTCAGTATAATTGGCTTCCATCACGGGAAACTTCATTTGCTATTGGCTGTTCTGCTTGCTTTCAATTCCACAAATATCTCCCTATGCCTGTGCCAAGTACCCTCCGGTGGTCCTCTCGCCCCGTTTCCTGCTTCTTATATTGTCTCCCCCGTTAGATTGTATGCTCTGTGAGGGCAGGAACTGTCCTTTTTGAATGTGTATCCTCCTCACTTAGTACTATGTGCCTGGCACACAGCAGGCGCTTAATAAATGTTTATTGATTAACCTTATTTTATTTTATGTCCCTAAAAACATTATTTTGAGAAGGTGTCCATAAGTTTCATCAACTTGCCAAAGGGATGCATGATACGGAAAAGGTTAAAAACCTCTGTGTCTAGAAGAAGACAGGGAACTGAAGGACTAGGAAACACGGGATAGAAATGGATTTATGTGGTGGGGGGGAGGGTGAGAAGGAGTGAGGGAATAGGTTCATATGGGGTCAGGGAAGGCAGGCAAGAGTGGAGAGCAGGGGCAAGGGAAATCTGGACAGCCAGGGCTTGTGACCTAAGACTCTTGGGCACCACAGCAAGAAATGAGAGATGAGGAGATGATGGGTGGGGGCAGAGGCCACTTGGAGAGGGATGGAGGAGGTACTCAAGGGAATCTGCCTGAATCGCAGTTTTTCTTGACAAAGAGGTGTTCTGCTGATGACCTGCAATGAGGGAACTCGAGGATACAGGAAAGGGAGTTGAAAAGATTGGGACAGAGTATGAAAGCCCAGCTCTTTCTCTGCTTTCAGGCCACAGCCCTTTCAACCCCTGAGACTCGTTGCCCTGTACAAGAGCCACTGTGAGAGCCCAGGAGGAGAAATCTTGAGACTGTGAAAATAATTCTTGAAAAAATCCCTAGACTAAACATTTCCAGGCCAAGCAGGAGCCCCAGTTGAAGAAACCATTCACCAGGAACACCGGTAACTGGATGCCTCAGCAGCGTGGATAGGGCCCTCTCCAGCACTGTTCCTTGGCCTTGGGATGCTCCCTGGGAGAGGGAAATATCATCTGCTGCACCGGCTGATTCGAGTAACCGACACATTGTTTGCTCTTGGCCACTGAAAGCATGGGAGCATTTGGGGGGGTTAGGCACTCAAAATCTTTGCAGTGGAAACAGCCATATGGTTTTCGGGCCACATGCATTAGAAAATCCAGACTACCATTTGTCCAAAGTGTTTACAGGCAGCCTGTGAAAATTCTCCATTAGGTAGATCTTGTTTGGTTTTAAGTCTACATGAAATTGAACACAGTATTAGCGATGTGTCTCTGCTTTTCTCTGTCTCCTCCTGTGTATTTTAAAAATGTCATTGACACTTTTTTTTATGGCATCACTATTACTACCTAACTCTCCCTGCTGAAACCCCTCCCTCCAGAAATGAAAGCCCCTTCTTTCCCCCTTGTGATAATTTAATATGGTTAAGCAGATAAATTCAGACGTTGGTCTTGTCTGAAAAAGGAAGCCACAGTTGTCCTTTTAAATATGGTTATTTCCCTCTTCCTTCCTTCATGTTTATCTCTAACCCAGAATTCTTTAATTACTATGCCCCTGTCCTTCCCCTTCTCCCCAGCCCTGTCACTCATGTAAATCCTTTCCACTTTTTCTAGGTCTATCTCAAAGCTCACCTTTTCCATGCTAGCTTTCATTGCTCTCCTCTCCTGCTCTGCTCTTGTTTAATGTATTTTATCATTCCAATTGGATTATGAGATCTTTGAGGCCAAGGATAACCTGGTGTGCAAGCACTGGCTCTGGAGTGGACCTGGGTTCAAATCCTGACTCTTCTTCTTAGCTGCATGACTTTGGGCGAGTCACTTCTCTAGACCTGAGTTTCCTCCTCTGGATTAGATTGGCTTCTACTGTCCCTTCCAGCACCAAGATTCCACGGATCATGTGTGTATTATGATACTTCAATCAGTATCTCCCATGATGCCTCACACAACGTTAAGCACATAGTAGGTGCTCATAAATATATCATAGGCTCATGGAATAGAGCTGGCTATGACCTTAGGGGTCATTTGGTCATAAACTCACAGATCTGACAGCTCTCTCGTTTTACAGACACATAAAGGCAGGTCTCACAAACAATGTCCTGGCTCTTCCCACTGCACCTCTCAGTCATCTTTGCATCATGTGTCCTGAGGAGGAAACTGAGTAGAGGAAAGCTGAAGTCACACAGGTAAGAGGAGAGCCCAGAGAAGAACTTGGATTTTCTGACTCCAAAACCCATTGCTGTTATTACTATCTATTGATGTTTCAGGGTTTCCATTTAGAAAAAAATTTCAATGCTTTTCTTGATGACTTCGTTACCCCCAAGTCCAGGGGATACCTGTCACCACCTAAGATACAAATCCTTTTTGCCATGACTTTATTTAAAGACAATTAATCTGCTGTGAGATTAATCTTCCTAAAACGCTGCTTCCTATACTCTTATGATCAAAAGCCTTCAATTGCTTCTAGAGCCATAACAAGCCACCGCCGTACCTGGAGCAAAATCTCTTGGGATGGAGGACATCATGGTGCAGCAACGCAGAGGACGGTCCCGCATCAGGGGTGATTATCCTGGCAGGGGCCATGTCATTAACCAAGGAGGGTGGCTGTTGAGCCCTTGAGAGTGGGGGAGAAGGGGACCCCAGAAGAGAGCTGCTATAGTGATAGGAGTTTCAGAGTAGAGGCCAAGAGTGGTCGTGCTCTATGCCATCAAAGGACTTTGAAATGAGTCACAGGGGCAGACCATGCGGGGAAGCATGGGAAGGAAGCCCACGCACCCACCTCTAGTACACAGTGCTATGGGGGCAGACATCTATTCTATACAAGCTGTGGCTCTGATAGTGCCTCGTTTCCTCAAATATAAAT